GAACATTGTAAGCAAGTTAGTTAGTTTAAAGAACATTATAGTCAGTTTGTACAATCTGTAATTAGTTTAGAATGTGGCCTTCTACTCATCTCTGTCTTAGATCCAAATATTATTGTACCCTTATTAAATATCCAACTTAGTGAAAACCCTAGATGTATGTATCTTATTAATGAGCTCCTGAATCAGGGGGAGCAGGTACTTGTTTTTGATAGTACCCTTATTAAGACAATAATAATCCTAGACTAAGTAGAGCTTCCTATCTTTCTTTTTAACAAAGAAGAAAGAGGAGGCTATAAGGGACTTTGAGGGTCAGATCCAGCCATTCTAAAGATTTTCCTAAAGGAACTTGTCAAGTGCCTCCTACTTGTCTCTGTTGAGCAGGTAGACCTTACAATCCTTAGGTTAGAAACCCTTAGTCAATTCAATTATATAGTCCTAGGGATAGTATTCAGGAAGCTAGTTGAATTCCTCTTTACTAAAGACTTTAGAGAACTCTTGGACAAAATCTGGCAGGCTGGGTCTATGTGTGTTCTAGAGTAGAGTTGTTCTGAGAGGGTTCTAGACTAGTTCTGTCTTGAACATCCTTTGGATTAACTCTGTTCTGCCTTGACTAGAATATGTATCCACATATTTATCCTAGTCAAAGAAGAACAACTAGTCACCTTTATCAGAACTGTTAGTAACATTAGAAGTGTCTGTATCTACTCAGAACAGTAGTACAAGGTAGTTGTAAGACTCAGAACACTGATTGAACATGAGTGTCTACTCTAACCAGTCAATAGTAGGGTTGTGAGTCTTGAGCCATTTGAATCTGATAAAGATGTCTGTCTTTCCAAGGTTAGTAACTCTGAACTCAATACTTTCCTTATAATCCTGAATAGTTATTCATAGTTGGACAAACTCAGTAATCTGACCATTCCAGTTCAGGGTTCTGTCTGTATTGTATACTAGGATTAGAAGTAGAATGTGTTGAGTAGGGAGGTAGTGTTCCTACACAAAGGCTTTATTAATGTACAAACTAGTACATTTACTATCTACTAGAGCTATTGTTTGGATCTGGGGGGATCCTGAGAAGGGAGCCAAGAGGACAGGAACCTGGAGCTAGTACCTAGAACATCCTCAGATGAACTACTACTTGTTCTGAAGGGAACATACAGCTTGTACAGTCTTATTGTCTGAGAGAGTGAGTATATACACTAACATTTCCTTATTAACCTCTCTCTTTCAACAAGGACAGACTTATGTCCTTAGCTGTGAACTCAGCTGAGGCCATCCTTGCTTAATACTATAAACAAACTACTGAGTAGTAAACAGGGCTGGGTAGTGTTCTAGACATTCTGAGATCTTAGAATGCAGAAGTAGTAGGTTGGATTGTACAGATTTAGACTCAGATAAAGTGTGAAGAGAAGAATCAAAAGAATCAGAAGAAATAGGAGAACTATCTACTTTTGTTTTTGACTTTTTTCTTTCTAATAAATAATTTTGTTGATTTAGTTTTTCTACTTTTTCTACTTTTTCTGCTTTTCTTACTTTATTTACTTCTAATCCTATAGTGTCTATTGAATCAAAAGTGGCTATTAAAAAATCTGAGTCATAGCTCTTCAGTACTGTATTTACTGTTAGGCCTCTACAAAATCCTGAGGTATGTAGTCATGGTCTAGGAGTTCTGAGGTAACTTTCAGATTTGTAGAAAAGGCTTCTTACTACAAATCCTACTTGTCACTCATTATTACTCTAATAACCTGACAGATATGCTGTTACTTCTGTAGACTAGTCTTTAATTTAGTGTCCCCTTGACTTTCTAGTAAGTAAGTAT